TGTCAGACAATCCACCTTTCCTCACAGCTTGATGCCCTGAACACAAGGGAAAACAAAATCAACAACTTGCTCCAGGATTAAGGTGTAATCAATGACAAGACCAACTGGGAGCAAAACCCATCAATTCGGTGCAGCAGTATCTCCCTGTCATCCAGAGCTTGTGGGTGCAGGGAGGCATAAAGTGCTAGGACTTGACTAAAAGGTCAGCTGCCTCTTTGTCTCTTTCCTATTCTAACATCCCAAAGGTATTTGCAACTTGCCCCCTTTTGACTACTCACCTGGTGAGCACTGTTAAGAATAAGGACTGACCTGAAAAAGGCACGCATCTGCTTAATGGACTTGTTGGACAAGAGGTCATTTCCCCATGACTCATTTTTCTGGTGTAAAGCATGTGCTGCTCAGAACCTCACTGTACTCTGAAAAACATCTCAGGGCTTTGAAAACCATATATATTATTATAGTTCTGTTTGCTTATTTGCTTAAGCAAGATCCACCAGAAGTCAGATGGGATTCTGGAAGACAGATCAGCAGTGAGATGATTAAAGTTCATTAACTGTCATGTCTGTAAGTGTGTGAGCTATTATTTACTAATTCAATGATTTTGCGTACCCTATAAAAAGATAGGATGCAATAATGCCTGTTAGCACTTAGCCCAGTGCCTAACATGTAGAGTGCACAATACAAGTTTCTATTATCCTTCTCATGATAGTCATTATCCCCAGCATCATTGCCATCATCATTAAACAAGCAAGGTGCTGGGTTTGAGGACTTCAAACCCAGTTGACAAGAGAAAATAATCACATGAACAAGGTAAAGAAGCGACACTTACATCTTTATAACCACACTTACAGCTGTATGACAGCTTGTCTATTTACATTAGATTTATCTTCTTCTGGGATCTGGCAGTTCAGGGTGGCAGCTTACGTGCCTTATTCAATACAGGACAGGTAGTACAAGTGCATTTCTCGCTCATCTTAACTGTGCACAGACCACAGGCCCTTCTAGTCAATGAACACAGAAGGAGAGAGCCCATGTGCTGCTGGTCTATGTACTACTCACCCAGCTCCCCCACCCTAGTCCAGAACAACCCTGAAGAAGTCAATCAATACATCTTTCTTGGATAAAGAAAAAGAGATGACCATGAAGTGGAGATAATATTGTAGTAGTCACTTGTCTGTTCAAAAATGGACACTTAGTAGCATCACCTATATTTTGTCCTGCATGCAAGGCTGTGGGTACCGTGAGAACATCTGAAAACCAGACTGAGCTAATAGTGTCCTAATTCTGGCACAGGCAGGATTTCTCAGAAGTATGAGCTGGTGCAGGAGAACGTAAGTTCACACTTTGAAGTCTAGTCTCCTTCACGCTAGATGACAAAATGGTTCAAAACCACAAGCACTCTCTTTTTGATCCCCATCCCTGACCCTGCTCCTTCTCTATATTAACCCCAAGGAGGTTTCCTAGAGGCATTATCAGCCAGGCCTACCAAAGCACTTGTGAAGTATTCAAAATGTTCCTTTTCCTGTCTTCTTTTCTTTTCTGAATTATATTTTCCCCAAGGCATGAACTTTTATATCAAAGTATTAAAACAGATGAAATCTTGTCATTTGCAACAATGGAATTGCTGGGGATGGAATTGAAGGGGATTATGCTAAGTGAAATAAGCCAAAGGGAGAAAAACAAACACTAGACTATTTTACTCATATGTGGAATATAGAAAAGCAAAAAGGAACTGACAAAACTAAGCCAAAACAAGTTCTAGAACTATGACTGCAGAATTGAGGCTACTAGAGGGGGAGAGGGAAGGTATGGAATAAGCAGGGAAGGGACCCATTGGTTTATGAAGTGGAGGGTGTGTCGGGGTAGCATACAGTAAAGAGGTATGTATCTATTCCCCTTTCTATATAATGTAAACCAATGCCACCTCAACTAAAAAACAAAAATTAAAATATTGAAACAAACACTTCTAAAAATACAGACAACCAAAACAGTCATTTGCCATATGATGTACAGCATGACATAATGACTAATGGTAATTGTGGCTATATTAAAAAAGTAAATATATAGGTACATGCGTGCATATTTATGCATGTGTATGTATGTATATATAAATTATATATTACATTATATATTATATTATTTTCCAGTGAAATTGAATTTAAAAATTAAAAGTCAGAAGGTTATGCTTGCCTCAATCCTGAGATAAACCCCAAAGAGGCTGCTTCCTCAGAAAGGGGGAAGGAGGTCTGATTCTTTAAGAACAAGGTATCATTTTAATTTTACTAACTAACCCCCTTATTAAGTTCAGAAAAGAACATTCCTCCTAGACTGGGACATCGGTGTAAATGCCCTATCAGAAAGATAGAAGCACGCTGAGTCTGAGCTTCCACAGCCTAGGACAAGCTGCTTGACTTGCTCTGCCAGCATGCCCTTCCCACTGCTGGGCTGAGAATTACCCCTGCTAGAAGCCTCCGTTCTACTGAGAAGAATAATGTATGTATTTGTAAATTTCTAATATGCCAACTATACTTTATATGGCAAATGCACTGCAGAATAAAAACTGGCTCTTAGTTACATACATCCGAGAAATCTATCAAGGAAGCCAAAACTTAGTCAGTCATGGAGATTCTGATGAAGGGATTCAGAATTTCAAGACTGCAGCTGTTAGGCCCTTAATGAATTAAAGAATTATATTTGGTGAGGTTCTACCAAACTTTACAGACTTTGATTTAGTCAAATAAATTCTGTGGGACAAAACTCGGCATAATTGACCTCCTAATTGGGGAATGGATTCAGTAACCTAAATGCCTAAATACAAGTAAGAGCACAGAATCAACCCTTTTTGTTGGTCATCTCGGGTTCTCCTAAAACATAGAACAATTTATTTGAGATTTCATATACAGTGCCAAGCCTAATGGACAATAGCATCAAATTAATGAATAATTCCCTTCTGGGCTATGGTAAAGTATTTTGGGATATCTAATTTATGACCCTCATTTTTTAAAAAGATTTATTTATTTATTTATTTGTTTATTTATTTATTTATTTATTTATACAAGCACTGGGTACAGTCAGAAGAGCGGAGGGTGAGAGAATTCACCAGAGCCAGAGCGGGGAACAGAACAAGCAGACTGACTAAGTAGACTGCTGAGGGGAGCAGCGGGTGGCAGGAGACCCTCCTGCCATGTGGGACCCTCGCTGGTGGCCAGAGATGGAACCAGCACTGCTGAGGTTGAGGGCAGCTTCGCAGCCTAGCACTCAACCACTGTGCCACCAGGGGAGGCCCTAATTTATGACCCTCTTATGTGACTACTTCATTTCCTTAGAGGAGCAGGCCCTCCAGCTAAGTGCACTGTGTAAAACAACCCTCCAGCTATTGCTGACTGTACCAGGACTGGACACCTAACACAAATGGGGCAAATGGAGTCTCTCCCCAGGCCTTAGCCCTAAGACTGAGAACCAATGTCTCCTGGTCATCTGGCAGGTGATGAAGTGGCCCACTGATCTGTATGGTGGAAATCCACTAGCTTGGTCTGTCCTGAGCCCATGCCCCCTTTAGTGCTATTAACATAACCACTCCCCTTCAGTCCAGGTACCCCTGGGTGGGAGGTCACCAATCAGAAGTGATTTTCAACATAATTACCTGTCATTATGACAAGGCCATTGAACAATCAGGAGAGATTCTTGGTGTAGGTTAAGGTAAAAGCATCAGGCTTTTCTGCCCTCCCACCATTAGGATAGATGACAGAACCCTGAGGTCCCGAATGCATGCCTGATTGCCGGCACCTGGAGTAGAGTGTGGGCATATGCAGATGGGATTCACCTGGGCTTATAAGGGCGGCCTCACGGAAAAACCAGCAAAAACAGAACCATGAGAGGCAGAACCACGAGAGGCAGAACCACGAGAGGAGCAGAGAACAAGGCCACAAGAAAAGGCCAGAGGGCCCAGGTAGAGTGAAGACTTGTTGGGGGCTGGGAGGCCTGCCAGCCTCCCAGCACCCCAGCACCCCTGCATGCTGTGTACCCGGTAAATCCCAATAAAAGCCTGCAAAAGCCACTGAGGGCTCCAGGACTCTGACTCCTCCCTTAACCTGTCTGCTGGGATGATAGAAAACCTGCTCTGTGCTCTTCCTGCCCCTTACACTAGGTTTGCTGCCAAGGCCTTATGATTATGGAGTGTTTTCGCTGGGGTTGTCTCCATCCTCTCACAAACTTAGGGATTCTCACATGACCCAGGTCTGGCCAATCAGAAGCAACGATCCTGGGCTTCAGAGATCACTTTGGGTGTGAACACTTGGCACAGGCTAGTGGAGAAGAATCCCTCAGAAGTGAGATAAATGAAGCAGGTTTTTAGAACGAAAAAGAAACAACAGATCACACAATCCCCTCTCCCCACCCCTTAAAGAAGGAAATGAAGAGCAGTCTGGGTTTCTGGGGACTGTTTTTGGTGCTGGTCACCTATGCAATAGTCTGCCTCTAAAGGATTTGATTACTCACTTGAAAAAGTGTATATTGTACACTCTATATGTGTGAAGCAATATAGTATGTACCCCACAGATAGAGGGGTACATGAGTGCGTGTGCACACTGTGTGGTGGTAGTGAGCTGGGCCACCACTGACTGGAAGCAGTGAAAGAGCTTTGCACTGGCAGCGGCTGACCTAAAGGTTGCATTGATTCCCTTCTACGAAGATATTTTGTGCTTTCTCTTCTGTTCCAGTAAGCTCACAGATCAGGGAGAACCATGGCAACCAAAATGCATAAAGAAAAGCTAATGAACATTTAGCAAAATGACCTGTGATAAAGGTGTCGATAAGGGTGAGGATCGGGTCAGCCCGGAGACAAACTTCAACCCAAGCTAAAGGAAACACAGAGCAGAAACAGGGAAAGAAGGTGTACGCATAACTAGAAACCTCCTACCAGGACCAAGGGGGCGGGGGGAGTAGTCCTGGCTCTCATGTTTAAATAACACAGTAATTATTAGCTCAATTTATCCACATACCTCCAAAGTGAGCTCTCGGTGATGCTCCCCAGGTTATAGTCATAGAACTTTGTCAAAATGAGGATCACCTGAAGGAAAAAGAAGAAATCATGGTTAGTCTCAAACAATTACAATCTCCTCGAACTGAAATGGCCCAAGGGAAGGCTTAGGGTTCCTTTAATGGGCGCTTAACATAATTGAATGAATTGTTACAGTTATTCACTCACATAGACTGGATAAGGATATGCCAGTGTCTTCCCTGAAACCTCTCAAGCCTGATCCTCTCCCCAACTTTCTCCTCCTACCTGCAGCAAGAGACACCTGCTCATCTAGGCATCTCTCACCCTCATGAGCTTAACACTTATTAGGAAAACTATCAAATATGCACCCTGCAAGGCAGCCACTAAGCAGATGATTGGGACAGAGGAAGGTCAATGATGTATATAGTTCCTAGTCCTAGTAACTGTACCCTGCTGGGCAGGTTACCTAGCTTCCCTCATACTCAATTTTCCCAACTATTAAGGGGTGAGGGCAGTAATGCCATTTGCCAGAAAGGGTTGCTGTGAGGAGTTAGATGTTAGTGCAAATTGCCCTTCAATTAACATGGGGTTCTTAAATGGTAGTTCTTTCTCTCTTTACTCCTTTGTGGGTTTGGCTTTATTAGTTGCTTTAATCTTCCACTTTCTAGGAAAGCCCTTGAATGGAACCCATAAGAGTTAAGTAACAGCATTTTAACAGGAGTAAATCTGCGTTATGGGGACCTGAAGCTTGTGGAGGTTTTCCACAAGAAACAGAAGATTATAAATTTAAACTTCAAAACAGGTTGGGCTCCCTGGAGAGCAACCTGTGCAAATTCATTAGCCTTATGGCCAATCCACCTGTGATTCTAAACTACTGCTACTTTTAGTCTCACTCGTCAGAGGCAGCCCATTCAGAATTTAGCAAACACTTATTAGCATGTATTATTAGGAGCACAGGATTTCACACAGTACCAAAGGAGGTCACAAAAACAGATGAGTCGTGGAAGTATGATCCACTTAGGACAGAATGTGCTTGTGGAAGAAAAGGTAACTTGACAGAAAGCTGACCTGCCCCCAGCATGCCCACTAAAAAGTCCAGCCATCATGGCAGCCTAACACACTGCTTCTTTGGGCGCCTGTAAGACCAAAGTTGCCTGGTTACTTGAAGTACATGAGCACCCGGGCACTTGAGAGCAGCGTCCTCCTAGCCACTGAGGCACTTACCCCTTCCCTGCTCTTCTTACATAAGCCAAAAGAACCTGCTTAGTTTTCTGTTGAGGTTCATATTTCTCTCCTGATACTCATAACCTAGAACATTTGCCCAGTCCTGCTGTTTCCAACTCAGCAGAAAAAAATCTGTTGACATCGATGTCCCAGATTTTCTCTGAAGCCAAGGGATCAGTTCTAGCCACAGTGAGCACAGAACATTGTAACCTTGAATTCCAAGGCAGCAAGCTGCTGAGGAGTGCTGAATCCTTCCAAGTTCCACTCTGCTAGCCCAGGGCCCAATTTACTGGAGACAGAAGCATCAATGAGCAGATTTTGCCCATTTTGTTCACACAAGCAAGCTGCAATTCCATGACCTTAGATCTGTTCCAAGTTCAAGGGAATGTAGAACCACGGTGAACCACGACAGGCAGCAACGCCAGGTCCTGTGCCCTTATAGCCACCGTTTCCTCAAATACAGCCTAGACTTCCTTTAAGGATCTGCTCAAAACTTGCTTCTTTAGCAAAATGCGAGCACGTGGGAGGTGCTGGGCACCCTATGGGCACATCAGATGGCACGCCTGTGGTGGGGGCATATGCTTAGCAGAACCGTGTGCCAATTAAGTTGCTCTAAGTGCTAAATTTCAATCACCGCCATCCCAGGAATGCTGATCAGAGGCAGCAGGGTGGCTGTTTGTTTGAAGACACGGAACAAAGTTGCTGCTCCACCTTGATACGATTTTGCCGAATAGGTCTACAAATTCCCCACCAAGGAAATGGGGGTGTGAATATAAAGCATTTCTAGGTAGTTGCTCTCGTACACAATCTGGCAGTAAACTAAATAATGAAGTCCAGCTGGTCCCAGGCTTGTCTTCCCTCCACCTGACAAGGGAATTCAGAGGAGCCCCAGAGAGGGAAACTTTTAACCCAGCATGTAATGGTGTGGACCCCTCGCACCCCCTACACAGGCTCTCATGCACATTCCCACGTAGAAATAGTGCAAACAATTCACAGGCAGGTGGGTGAGGAGATAAAAATTCTCTCCTACCCTTCTTGCTGGGCCAGTAAAACCAAAATGCCAATGATATACTCTGGCAGAATAGCAACATGGCACCTGAAAAGGCATCGTTTGCAGCATTTCAAGTCTACTTGAATCAATCCAATCATTCTGTTTTCAGAAGAACTAGAGAGGAGGGAGAGCTGCTAACCGTTAGTTAGGTTTTCAGTCGATTTTTAAAATTCTCTCTTCCTTCTTTTCCCTTTTCTATGTACTGTTTACTGCCTTACTCCTGTAAAGGGTCATTATATTAGGTCTGTTTGCTCCTGCTTGTTCCCTCATTCTGGTTAGTTATCAATACTATTTAATGGAATCAGCACCTGTTAGGCAGCCACAGTCACAACTACCACCGTTTGTTCAGAAAAAAAGGGGAAAAGTCATTGCCTGCCTATTCTGGTCCAACTGCCTACTATTTTGGTATATTTTTCAAACCTAAAAAAGAAAATCACTGGAACTGTTTAGTCAAATGGAATGTTGTATGTACTAAAACATACAAATGATAATTTCTTATTCACTCAGTAAACAATTGTATTTACAGATTTACTTTTATGAGTCTAAGAGTATAGCATTGAATCATAAATCCAATCAGTGAGAACAAAGCTGTTTTGATGAACACACACTCACACAAAATGGAATATTGTAATGCAACCATTCCAAACTGGATAGGTTCATCACCGGTTCTAGCAGCTGTGTTGTGTTTTAGCTGTTTACATGTTCTCCACTGTCCTCCCCCGTACGCCTTCATCCTCCACACCACGCCACTCCATACCACAACACACTGTCCTCTGCCTCCCTGGCCTTATATGCCCAGTCTTTTGGCTCAGGTGCACCCACCTTTGCATGCCCACACCCTACTCCAGGTGCCCGCCATCAGGCATGCATTTAATCTAATGGCAGGAGGACAAAAAAAAAACTGATACTTATTATTTACCCTACAAATATTCATCAGCATCTCATTGTTTCTGTACCTTGCTTTCAAAACAGTAAGCAGCGGCGGTGTAAGAGGTTAAGACACAACCTATGAAGCAGCCCGCACCACTGCAGTGCAAGTTTGAACCCCAGCCAGGGAGCTCCCCACATGGTGCAGCAGACCTCTCCTGCCTCACCCGCTGCTCCCCTCAGCCGTGTGTTTCAGTAGATCCGCCTGTTCTGCTCCCCACTCTGTCTCTAGCGAATCCCCCCACACCTCTGGCTGTAACCCATTTCTTGGTTGCATAATCTTAAAAAAAAAAAAAAAAACACTAAGTGGTTATGCTATGGTACTAGCATTTTTTACATTTCTCTCTAAATCTGAGGATACTTTCTTTAAATAGATGTAAATAAATACCTATGGCTTGTGTTGTGCAACCATCCTAGATCAGGCAGGTTCATTGCGGATTCCAGCAGACAAAAAGAATTTCGGAGCCTTCAGTATCTCTATCTTAATGCCTTAAATGCTGAATCAGAGAACTGGACTCAGAGGCAGACCAGGAGGCCAGGAAAGAGGCAGGCAGCAACTGAGCCCCCAGCGCCTATGAATCTCCGCTTTATACCCTGCTCCTCCGTCCCCAGGTGTCTCTATTACAAATGCACACGCCCCTTGCTCTCCGGCCTCTCAGCCCGTGGCCACAGTCAAAGGCCTGCATGCCCCGTGCTCACGCTCCCAAGCACCGTTTGCATCAACACAATATCACATGTGAGTAAGGCAGCTGGGAGGAATGCAAGCCTGCCAAGGTGGCGTAGAGGAGGTGACGGGAGGCGGAAAAAGAACCTGACCCACTCCATTTCTCCACGCTTAGCAACCTCTGCCTACAAAATTCCAGTCCCTCAGTGTCCTGCTATTTCTGGAACTTTCCACAGTGACATGTCTGAGTATTTCCCAACCAATCTAGAAGGTCTACCACGACGTGCATTCTGTCCTATCCATTTGTAATGGGTCCATTACTTACAAAGCTTCTGGAAGGAGCTCCACTTTGTCCATATTTAATAAAGAGCAGGCTGAAGCCCTCCCACCAAACTGTTGTTCTTAAATCATCCATTCTTTGGAGGCTTGAAGGGCATTAGAATCAGTGCCAGTCTCTGCAGGGCTGTGTGAGGGTCTGGGCAATTTTCACCACCTAGACTTAGCAAACTATTATTATTCACAGGGTCTTCTAAAGCTCCCACTGATTAATTCCAACAAACCAGTCTCTTACCCCTCTCCAAATAGAAGGGTTAGTAACTCATCACTGAAAAAATATGGCATTACATTAAAAAGTAAGGAAATTCTGCTGTCACAACAATAGGCATCAAGATGAAGGGAATTGTGCCAAATGAAATAAGCAGATAAAGAAAGACAAACACTGGATGGCATCACCTGTATGTGGAATATTAAAACAAATATACAAACAACAACAAAATGATTTAATAGAAACAGGACAGAATGGATAATTGTTAGGGGAAGCTACAGGTCAAAAGGTGTCACTTTCAGTTCCAAAAAGGACAAACTCTGGCCTCTCTGGTGGCGCAAGGGGTTAAGACGCAACCTACATACGAGGCTGTCTGCAGCTGCTGCAGCACGAGTTCAATCCCCAGCCACGGAGCTCCCCCCATGGTGCAGCAAACCTCTTCTGGCTCACCCACTGCTCCCCTCAGCAGTGAATTTCAGTCGGTTTGCCTGTTCTGCTCCCCACTCTGTCTCTGGTGAATCTTCTTGCCCCCTGCACCTCTGACCTGTGCCCCAGTCTTGTATGCATGGATAAATGACTCTTAAAAAAAAAAAAAAGGACAAACTCTGAGGTAACTGCAATAACACAGTCTTGCACACTTGAAAGTTGCTGAGAGTAAA